TATGGCTTCTACTGGGACATTTTATTAGCAACATTTAATTAGCATAGTGCTTGGTACACAGTACGTGCTCTATAAATATTTGCCAAATGAATGAATGATTAATGAAGGATAACATAAGTCTACAATTAGCAAGTCACCAAGAAGCGTCCATGAAGAATTTTTTGACAAAATCTTGGTGATGGGTACAACTTATTCTCTAACACTCTGGAGGATATTAGTAAGGAAAGCTTTCATATCAATGGTCCTGGATTTCAAGTGCAGGCTCTGTCATTTTTTAGCTGTATGATAGTGGGTAAGTCACTAAACCTCTCTGACCTTCAATTTCTTAATCTATACAATGGAGCTACTAATATTTACCTTATGAATTGATTTTGAAGATTTGCAATAATGTTTACAAAGAGCTTGACAAACACTGTACTCAATAGATGGTGATTATTATTATGAAATGGAATGCTGATTCTCATCAGCAAGTTAATCTTTTTGCTCCAGAAATGGGAAGGCTTTCTCAACACTGGCCATGGTCAGGGCCACCATCAGCCAAGGTAGGGAACATTCTCATTGTCACTTGCAAAGTCAAGAGAACAGCACAGATCTGAAGTAGAAAGGAACCAGCAGCACATGTTTTTAAATATTCATAAGGGCTGGAAATGTCTTACTCCTTTCGTTTTCTCTGCCATCTGCTTTTGTTTCTTTTCTTTTCATTCTTATGCCACAGCTGCAAATGAAAACAACCATACAATAACTCAAGTTAAATAAAAAAAAAATCAAAATAAAAACAATCTGAGGGGTAAAAAGAGAAGATGAATTATAAAGTTTTTCCTGAGCTCACAAGGCAACAGAAGCAAGAATAACGTCTGATGTGAGTTAAACCTTCTGGAAACTAAAATCCATATCCCATGTTTATAATAACCATTATAAGAGCAACCACCATTTACTAAATGGCCCCTATGTGCCACTTGACGACCAATATCTCTAATTCCTAAAGCCACTCTTCAAAGTAGGTAATTAAACCCATTTTACAGAAAAGAAATGGCAGATCAGGGAGGTAAAATAGATTTTTAATGATTACAGAGCTAATAAGAAATGAAACTGAGATTTGAATCCAGGTCTCTGTGAATCCAAAGCCCAGGCACTTTCTCTATCACCCTCTCCAAAAATGGGAAGGGACATCAAAAAATTAATTATGGAAATATTTAGGGCAGACCATTTGTACTAAACTGATTTATTCAGATAATTAAAATCTGTGATTATAGCTCTAATTAAAGTTAACTCAGATAATTGGTGGTTGTATTTGTGAATGTGCAATTAGAGTCTTCCACATAATTGTGGGGTTTTCAGCATCGTACTTCCCGTTTATTCATTGCATCCCAGAGCTTTGCTCTACTGGCCTCTGTTCTACCAAAGGCTGCATTACAGCTCTTAGGGTCTCTGGGCCCAAGGACCAGGACCTATGACACCAATAGCAGGGTCTAGGCTCAGCTCCATTTAACACTTCTTTGTCCAGAAGTCAATGAGCACCTCTTCTTCAAGCGTCATGTGAAAAGCTCTTACAGCCTACACTGTTGTCCTGAAAACTCCTAGCAGCATGTACCTGAAGAAAAACTGGCAGCAGTGGTTCTCATGTGTTAATTACACTTGCGAAGTCTATTATGCATAGAAAGGGCACCTGCTGGCAGTGAAAATGACTAGAATCTGCCCTTCCTGTGCAGTGAGTAAATTGAGAGTTCATTTCTACAGAAGATAATAGTTTGCAGATTCCATTTCGTGTATCCCCTGCATGGGGACGTACTTAACATTTAAATCATCTGCAGAGGAACAAATCTCCTTCAAATTTACATGTTTCAGCCTCCTAGCACTTTACTTAAAATGCTAGTTATCCCTGCTGGCTCTTACCACCAAGGATTAAACTCAACGGCGGTGAAAGTCACCAAGCACAATAGAATGAAGTTATTAGCATTGACTCCAATTTCATGACATCTGTAGTTTCTGACCAAAGCAGGGGTAGCAGGCTGAAGGTGATCAAATCAAGCCTGGAACAGAGGATTTGGTTTTTCTCTTGGGGTCTTTTATTTCACCATTCTTACATCTTGCAGCTAACAAACAGATACCAATCCCCACCGGCCTGCAATCATCCTTCAGTTAAATGTCAAAAAGTTCTTGCATGAAAACAAGAGACTAAGAGAGACGGCCATCACACAGACACTTCCCAGATGGAACCTCCTCACCAGACCTACTCAGACTCTGAAAAACACAAGGCTTAACTTGGAGTTTTGGGAGTGGAGGTTTGGGATGATGAGGGCTTAGCAGCCTTCCTTGCCCAGTCTTCCCGTCTGTGTTAGACCAGCCAGCATCACGGCTCTTGGTTAGGCTGGTGACACAGCTCTTGAGAAGGCTGGAGTTAGGGAGGAAGCTGAAAAGAGATCTCGGATCAGCTTCCACAGGGAACAGTGAAACAGCTAATCAATCCTCTAAGCAAACCAGCAAGGAGGGCTGGGACGTGAGACGTCAGCTGGAAAGAACAAGTGGCTACAATACATACTGGCTTTTTTAAAACAAAACTTTTCAATTATAAAAACTAAATTTTTTCATTGCAGACACATTTGGAAATATGGAAAATAAAATGAAAATCATGCAGAATCCCTCTCCCTCTTCTCCATTACAGATCATTGTCAACATTTTGGTGTATTTCCTTCCAGACTTCTGCCCCTCTATACGTATGTACGTGTGTGACTATACACATGAGTATATACATGAGTATATATGCGTATCTAATTTTTGTGTTATATACATACATATAATTGTTTTTATAAAAATGTGATTATACAGTACATAACATGTATATTGGGGCACATTACTAAACCTCTTGGGGTCTACTGGGGTTTACTGATCTGTGAAATGGAGCTAATAATACCTGCCTTACAGAGCTGCTGGAAGACTTAAATGAGATCACAGACGTAAAGGTGACTGGGGCACAGGAGATGTTCACCAATGGCAGCTATTGTTATCACTGATGCAACCGACAGAGCATCTTCTTCTCCACAATTTTGGGAATGTAAGCTGCTGGTTTTAAAGTAGGTAACAATTGAGCAACCAAAACTTTCCAAATAATGGAAAGTTAAAGCTGTACTATTTGGGAGGCAGAGGGACTACAATGACTCTCCCGGCTCTACCAATCACTGCATAGAGCATCAAGACACACAGGTGAGTCTCTTCCAGGGAGAACTCTAAAGTTTCCCCTTAGAGCACATGTCTGGGATGAGGTGTAGGGGGGTTTGTGTCTCTCTCTGTTGGGCATGTGTCTGGATGGGTATGTGCCTGGGAGGATGCCGTATGTCATGGGGGGTGTGGCAGCAGGTTCTCTGTGCTAAGGGGACTGAGCACTGCTGTGAGTCTGTCTTAGGGGACATATGTCTCCTTTCCTACTTTTTCTGTGTGTCCCCTTCACTATCTCCCTTCCACCTTCCTCGGGTGTGTGTTTTGTTCTTTTTTTCCCTCTCTCACTCCCCTTTCCTTCTTCTCCCTCTCTGAGCGTCAGAGTCTGCCTCTGCCCAGCCCCCCAATCTTTCATTCGAACAACAACAAACACTACTGGATGGCAAACACGGTCCTTTCCTTTGAGATACAGGACAGTGGAAAAAAACCCAAGAAAGTTGGTTCAAAAGCTCAAAAGGAGCAGCAAATCTAAGCAGAGGACTTGCTCCTTAATCTCATGAGAGGTGGGAGAAAGGTATGGATAAAAAGACCCACCTTGATAAGAAAGATACATAATAAAGAGAAAAATGAGCCAATTCCCTTAGTGCTATGCACTAGAGAGGGCTGCTGATTTTCACTTGACAGCCCTGAGCCACATCTTTGTTGAACCCATGGCTTCTTGGGATGAGGGTGAGCTCAACACACTCAAATCAGGAGTACTGTGGATCACCTTTAAGCTCCCAGGACAATTTGACTACCTGAGTGAACCTTTTCAGTGAGAGGATTACAAAAGAGGCTGGACATCCCAGCAAAAATTATGACTGACCTGGACTCAGTCACTCTGAACCAATGGTAAATGTGCTGAGTCATCTGTTCTTATGCAACAGGGCTGTGACCCCTCAAATGGGTCCCTTTCCCCTGAAGCTCTCAATTTTGAGCAGGCAGTGCGGTGCTTTTTCCTACATATGTATAGTGCTCCCTTATCAACTTCTGCTGACTTGAGCTGTCTGGAGACAATGTCTTTAATCATATTACACTAGAGAAAGAAATTATTCATAATGAAAATGGTTCCAAATCAGTCACAGAGACAGTCTTTTTTGGTAATCTATTAAAGTGACGAGGACGATGCTTCTGCAGAAACATTTACTGAGCACCTACCATGAGCCAGCTTTTCTACATAGTGTCCCTTCATCTGTTACATCATTTCATCCTTATATAATTATGGATAGAAAAACTTCATTTTGCAGACGAGGAAACAGTCTTAAGCCAAGTGACCTGCCCAAGGTGGCAGAGCTGACTCTAAAGCCAACCTGCCAGCCTGCCCACCTTCTTGCCTTCCTTCCTCCCACTAAAACACATTTCACTGAACAGTGAGATTCCCATCCAAAGACTTCAGAAGGTTTTGAAGTCTAGCTTCTGCTCCCAAACCACAGCTGAGAGGATGTCTTACAGAATGTGCCAGGGCATGGCTGAAACTTGAAGACCTTGGGGATCTCAGTTGTTCTCATCACCAGTTTCTAATTTGTCTTAGGAAAAAAAATCACACAATTATTTGGTGCTTTGTTTCCCCAAACTGAGAAATGGAAAAAGTACTATCTACTCACTTGAACTCTTAAGAATGCCACGACACACATAAAAGCTTTTTGGAAACAAAAGGGCCATGCAACCAGGTAGTCTAAAATTCCTATCATTCTGAAGTTAGTATTTTTAATTTAGAGTCACCAATTGCATTACAAGTTACAGATCTAACACTCTTGGTCAGTTTCTGGAGAAGGAAAAGCAGAAGACAGGGTAAGCAGCGGCCTTACCAGCAGTAGTCCAGCAGATGTGGAGGCAGGACGGGGATGTACACGTGCTGCCAGAACATGGGGTAGAGCATCGCAGCAGACCCGTGGATGCAGGCAGTCAACTGCAACAGAAGCAAATCTGAGATTCAGAGCTAAAAGTGAGGAGACACTATAATTTGAGTTCAGCAATAAAATTAAATACACATTTATCAACATATTCAAAATTATAAGTTAACTCAATTACCCTAATTCAAAATTAACAAGAGCTTGCTTTTCTGAAAAACCTATTTTTTTTTCCTGATTATGAAGCCAATGCACAATGACAGTAGAAAATTTAGAAAATGGAGAAAGGGATAATTTAACATTTTGGAGTATTACATACATATGCACTTATATTTCTTTTTCTAATAAAATTAGGATTACTATAAATATAGTGTTCATTTGCTCTTTCTCTTAAGTTAACATTACTTGCTGGCATTTTCCCCTATCTTTAAATATTCTTAGAAAACATATCTTTTAATGACACTCAATGAATTACCCATAATTGACCACTCCTCTACCATTAAGTTATATAATCAGATCAGGTCAATAATTTTCATATATTGTTCCTAGATGTAGAATTCAGAGACAAAGCTTATAAATATTTTATGGCACTTAATAAACAATATAATAAATGTGTTAATATAATAAATAGATGATGGATGGAGGCTCTTCACACGCCCCCAGTCATATACAGGGATGCCTGGCCTCCCTGCACTTCACCAGCACTAAGAATTCTAGTCAAGTTAGTAGCTTTAAGACTGTATCTATTTTCATTTTATTTTTATTTCTCTGATCATGACTGAGGCTGAAATCTTGTCATATGTTTCTTGACTATATTTCTTAGGTAAATAGTCTATTTATATTCTTAGTCCACTTTTTCTAATGAGTATTTTTTTCTTGATTTACAGGCAAATGCTGGATATGCAAAGGATACTAATCTTTTGTAATGTTCTTGAAAATAATTTATTTTTATTTAATTTTCTTTGAATTTTTGGGTGAAGAGAATGTTTAAATAATTACACACGCAAATATTTTCCTTTGTGATGGTTTCCACTGCTTTTATACTAAGAAAGTCCTCCAAATTTTTTCTCAGCCTTAAACTCTTTAATCCATCTGGAATTAATTTAGGTTTAAGGAGTGAGGTGAGAATTTATTTTTTCCACATAGTTAATCAATTGCCCCAGCACTGTTTACTGGCTAATCCTTCCTCTCCCTATTCTTTTGAAATGTTCTTATTTCATATTCTTTTTTTTGCCTTAAAAGCTAGACACATTATACAACCAGTATTGATACAATTAATTCAATAAAAATTTAGGAAACAAAGATAGAATGGAATAAAATTGCTACAAAATTCAGTATAGTGAAAGAAGGAAAAAAACAACACCTTTGGAGATATGGCTCTGAAGTGACAAAAGCCAAGAACACATGTTTCTTTCTGTCTTTTTTCTTTAATGTTTTTTTGGTTTCTGGGAACCCTGTTCCCATGAGGACTTTGCCTCTTTTGGAAGCTGTTAACTGGTCTTTGCTGACAGAAGGACATTTACGTGGCGAAAGAGTGATGTGCCAAGGCCCAGTTAAGAGAATCCCAGAGGTTAGTGTAACATGAACAGCTTTAAATTGGATATTCTGCTGATGTTTCACAGTTGTGAGAGCTGTGTATTAAATCCAGGCCACTACTTTCCCCTCCTCCTTTTCCCTCCAGTCCCTGTTCCTTAAATCAGGTGCATGCCATGAACAGGAGCTGATCCAGCAAGCTCTCAGGATCTGTTCCCAGCGACTCTGCCAAGGCTTGTAGGTTTAATTCATCTTTTCTCAATCCATTTTGGTAGGTTTCCGTACAAAGGAGGCTGTCTGTCATATTACACATGACTAATCTCTTCAGGGTTAAGAGAGATAAAAAATCTTTGCTGGTGCTGAGTAAGTGGAAAATGAACCAATTTTGCTCCAACTCCACCCTGAAGTCATGCTGGAGGGTTACACCGGCCTCGGGCCCCAGCTCTTTCTGCCCATCCTTTACCCAGCTGCCAAAGTCCCCTTCCTCAAGCGCATGTCCGGTCATGTAACATCCTACTTGGAGGCTTTGGGGACATGCCCGGAACAGGCACGTCTCTATCAGCTCTCAGTCTACTTGTAGAACAGCATCTCCAGCCACAATCTCTACCGCTTTCTCCAAGTTTACCCTTGGATTAAATCATTTGCAGATTTAGGAGTAGTTATGTACTCCTTTTCCTCCCTTCTCTCTTTTCACTCATCCCCTTAACTGGCCCAGATTTGTGTCCATAGCAAACTCCTCTTCCCTCAGGTTCTGCACAAGCACTACATTCTTCTGCAAAACCTTGCATGGCTCCCCTGGGCATATGCCCCTACTATTAATGGGACTATAACTTTCTGTATGTTTGTCCTCTCACTGTCAAGTACGGAAAGACCCTGTTTCTCTTTTCCTCTCCATGTTCTCAGTGGCATGTTCTCCATAAGTTCTCCATGTTTTCCATAAGTGCTGGATAATGCAACATTTCTTGAGTAAGTAAAAAACAATTCCTACTAAGAATATCACAATATAAAGAGTTAGTGGCTTGGCTTTTAACAGTATTGGACCAACATTTTCATTAGTCTCACAGAGTGGGGAATATGGCTCAAATTCCAAAATAATAATAGTAAGCTTAGACACATAAATATGCCACTTTTGGAAAATCAAGTCAATGGATTCGTTAATCCATTCATTCAATAATATGCCTACTCTATAACTCTACAACACATCAAATAAATAAATAGAAGCACTTTAAAGTCTATATGGTGCCATACAAATGTAAGGTATCATCACAGGAATTCATTTGTAATTCCCTTTGAAAAACTCATTCAATAGAATGTTCCTGATTGAGACAGCACTTGATTACCTACCTCTTTTTAGCTTAAATTGGTTTGAGTCAAAATTCTATTTCAAGCAATAAAGTGGCAGAGATCTTATCTTCAGACAATGTTCTTTTCATATCTCCTTAGCCTCAGAAAACCCTACCAAGCTAAATGCCAAGGCTTTAAAATTACTTATCTCTCACAAAAATCAAACTTTCGTGGTGCGTGATCATCATTTTCACTGAAGATTTTCTAAGGGCAAAATTTCTACAATTGAAGTAAAATTTACTCATTTGATCAACAAACAAAAACAAAAAAGAGAATCGTTTGGCTCTTTTCCAAAATACTAAATGGCACAAACAATGTGCATTGTTACTTAGGAACAATGGTTAAGTTGACTACAAGAAAAGTGTTACGATATATCTATGCTTAATCAGAAATAACATATTAGGGCCGGCCCCGTGGCTTGGTGGTTAAGTGAGCGCGCTCCACTGCTGGCGACCCGGGTTCGGATCCCGGGCTCGCACCGACGCGCTGCTTCTCCGGCCATGCTGAGGCCGCGTCCCACATACAGCAACTAGAAGGATGTGCAACTATGACACACAACTATCTACTGGGGCTTTGGGGGGAAAAAATAAAAATAAATAAATAAATAAAATCTTTAAAAAAAAAAAAAAAAAAAAGAAATAACATATTATGTCCTGTAAATCATCATTAGTCATTTATTTTAAAAATAACTCTAAAACCAAGCTCATTTAAAAAAATAAAGGTCCTAAAGGCCTATGCTCATTCCTTACAGAATACAAAATTTAAAAGTAATGAAGTACACAATTTGGACTGCAGTCAACAAAGGGGTATTGTGAATATTTAATCGAAGTGCAAGTTGAGGAAAATGATCCTATCAAAATCTCACTCAGTGGGAGAATAGAAAGATAGTATGTGTAAAATTTGCCCAAAGTCATTAGTCACAATGAATATTCATCAGAAGCCAATTATCAATCTCATTTAATGACACCCCAAAAGATTTTGCCCTGAAGCAGCTGAATAGTCTAAGACTCCAGACAAAACTAGACAAATTATACAGCCAACAGCCAGTCTAGCCAGGACACAGATTGTAAAGTAAACCACTGGTGGGATTTTTGGAAGCACTTCTAGCAAATTCTGTCCTCAATTAAAGGTGCACAAGGTCACTTCTATCTTGGAACTTTCTATACGGCTCCATCAGTTTTCTCTGAGGCAAAGGGAGAGAAAGGGAGAAGGCAGTGGGATAGGACACGCATGGAGACTGATCAATGACAGAGTTTGAAAAATCACAGACACATTTTTTTTCAGTTTAAGGTATTTCTCAGATATAATGCCCAGCCTGTCACAATCTTCGATTCCAATGCCTCAGCTGATTCCTAATGTAGCTCTGCAATTTAACATGGAATAAAAGTAAGAGACACTTCCCCCCGCCCCCCCAAAAAAGAAAGAATCCCAACAGTGAATAGGCCAGGCGCTATGTCGGGGGTTTAAGATCTTGCAAAGCAGTGTTTTATAGGGGTGTGTGCATGTGTGTTTACATACATACATACTCATCACCACATTTCACAGATAAGAAAACAGTCTCAGAAGTGAAATAATCTTCCCGAGGCCACACAGCTAGTAAGTGACAGAACTGGGATTCACATCCAGGTCTGTCAGACTATAATGGCCTCTGTGTTTCCAAAATATATAAATTAACTAAAAAAATGTTTTGAGTGTCTACCCTGTGCCCATACACTGTGCTGAGGATTCTGAACTCAATGAGATATTGTCCCCATCAGCAGGGCCAAATTATGTAGAAATGCATTTGCCTTGCTCTTAGATGACCAAATATCTAGGGCTAAATACCAATTAACAAAAAATAATCATTTTTAAAACAAACACGGATCTGATCATTTCCTGGGGATTAGTTACATTTAACTAAGGTGTTACAGCGTCTTTAATCCACAGGAAATTCCAGACAATGAAGTAATGATTGTTAGCCAAAGAGAAAGGCACACCTACATCTCAATTTGGCACATCTATTTGACAGTCTGGCTTTCTGTCATGTTCCCTTTCACATACTTACAGGGAGTTTCCACTAACTCTCTTTTTGATCTGAGTAACCACTGCATCTCCTGGGTCTCAATTTCTCCTCTTGGAAAACAAAAGGCTGGACTACATGATCCCTGAGCCCTCCTCTAGCTTTGACAACTTATGATCTAGA